AGCCAGACAGAAACAAAAAATACTGTAGTGCAAAAGCAAGACACCCGTAAGTAAGACTGAAGAATTAAAACTTTGTCTTTTAGCCATTTAAATTTTCTTCTGGGAATTCTCTTCCATTTATGATAGAGTTTCTAATAAAATTTAGCTAAATCTTTTATCAGAATATTTTCTCATGTTGAATGTATCCATTTCTATCTAGGTGGACCAAAGATCGCCGTGTGGTGCTAGTGATGTCTAATGAGCGGAAGAAGTGGATGACCATTCGTCCTCTTCCCACCAAGAAACAAGTGCCTCTGCAGTTTGATGTATGTTTGCCTAAACCTACATACATATGTACTCACACACACACACACGCACGTGGGTGACTGGAAAGGACTAATAATTGGGCTGGTTCCATCGATTCCATGGAGTCTGTGGAAGTCTTCTAAGTCTGAGCTCTGTAGAAGCACTATTAGCAAAGGGCTGAGCTCCTACTTTATTGAAATACTTTGTCATCAGTGGAGGTTAATCACTTTAAGTGATTAACTTGAATACAAATGTAATTAAGTGCCTAATATTTACAGTAAGTATTGCAGAAATAGTTTAAATAAATCTGTGGTCTAGTAATGAGATAAGAGGCAAAAAGTATTCATGGCAATTGTTTCGAATGGTTTATTTTTCATGAACTACAAGACTTATATATAAGTGTCTATTAAAAAAGAATATACTAATGCATGATGGGATGGGGGAAACACTAAGCAAGACTAACAGTCATTTTTTGCTGTCATCCACTTTATATTCATAAGGAATATTTTTTAAATTCATGTTCTAGTTGTGCAATCATATTGCTTCAGGCAAGAAATGTCAGTATGATGGAAACTGTTCATTTGCTCACAGTCCTGAGGAGAGAGAGATGTGGACTTATATGAAGGAGAATAGCAGTAAGTAGAAGAATAAACATATTAAAGGCATGCTGTGAATTTAACTGATCTGTTTTTGCTTTTCAATACTTTTTTTAATTGTCTTATACTGCATTTTGTAGGAAACCTTGGAGGCACATTTTTTTAATTTGAGCAAGTCCAGAACAGATATTCCAAACTGCTACCAAATAAAAATAGCTACATAATGGTGAAATAGTCTGAGTCAATTTGGAGGGAAGGTCTTTGAAGCAGCATGTTCATCCATCCGTCAGAATTGTTTGATATTTATATTCCATGCTGCCATGTGCGCACATTAAGATTCTCTTGCCAACACATGGGGGCTATTTGCAGAATGACCCTCTTCCATGTATTGACTGTGAATGACTGTTTACTGTCTGACGTWGATTTGTTTTCCCATCAGTAAGTTACTGGGGAGAAGTAATTGGAAAAAAAACAACTAAACAATGCTGTAAATGGTAGTGGTATGTTCTCAAAAAAAGCAGTCTAAATTTAACAAAAATTGTAGCACACGTAGTATCTGTACTAGTCCTTAGAAATTCACATGTTAGTAGTGGCACAGCTGTCATCTGTACTTTGGGTGCSTGTTCATGAATATGCAATATCTTACTTCACCTAGACAGCCTGAAATGAGTCTTGGTAAGTAAYCAGAGATTCCTATCGTGTTAGCTGTTGTCTGTGCTGTGCAACTCACTGCAGGATGGCCTGCCTTTTCCTTGAAATAGTTGAGGGCTGAATTATGCTTGCAAACTCGGTCATTTATCTAGTATTCTCAGATTCTTGCCTTAATTGCTAATTACTTATTTTAGCTTCTGCTCTCATTAGTTCAAGACTTGGAGCAGTTGTATGACATATGGCTAAAAAGTCAAAAACCAGAAAAAGGAGATGATGCAGCTGCTCAAACAAACAAAGAAAATGGGAAGCAAATTCACATGCCAACTGACTATGCTGAAGTAACAGTAAGTAACTTAAGTAGAATTATAATTTTTTTTCTTCCTTTTCAGTCAACAATACACACTGCTGTTCTTTACTCCRTTGGTGCTCTCTTTTGATCGTAGGTAGCTACGCTACGTGCAAACTTTAATGACTGATACTGTAATGCAGTTCTGAATCCTCTGAAACCAGTGGAGCTCCTAAACTTCAGTTGATTGTTTCAATAACGTACTTGATTAGCTAAAAAAAATTACAGGCTAGCATAAAGAAAACATATCACATGTATTGTTAGGAGCCGTTCTGTGTTTGTACTATTGAATTCTTAATGCTTTGTTTTCAAACTCCCTGTAAAACAGGTGGATTTTCACTGCTGGATGTGTGGGAAGAACTGTAATAGTGAGAAGCAATGGCAGGGTCACATTTCTTCTGAAAAGCATAAAGAGAAGGTTTTCCACACTGAGGACGATCAAAATTGCTGGCAGTATCGCTTTCCAACTGGATATTTTATCATTTGTGATAGGTATGTAGTCTTAAAGGTGGTAATAGTGCTGAAAAATGACAGTTCATAATTGTTACTGCAATTATTTTTTGATGCATCTAGGATGTCTTCCCTTGCATGCATCTTCTAACAAGAAATGAAGTAATTAATAGTATTTTAGCATGTGCTAGATGCATGTTAGCAGGTTAGATGCATCTTAGCATGTTAGAACTCGGGCAGTGACAAGCTGCTTGCTTGTGGAACCAAATTGTGGTACTAAAGTCCATGTGATGTTAACAGTGGGTCGTGGGTTTACTGCAGCTGGGTGAAAGCTTGTCTGAAAAAGGGTGGTATTGTTGGTAAAGGTTTACTGAAGCCTCTGTGTATCAGCTACCTGTGGAATTCAAGAACAGCACAGAGTTGGACAGTGTTACTGGAGCTTTAAGGCAGGTATAAATTTGTTAGCATCAAGCCCAAGTTATTAAAATCAAATTTATCTTAAGAATTGTAGTAGGAAAACGTGGACAGGAGCTTCTGAGACCTGCTGGTTTTCCTCAGCATTGGTCATATTGCTATTTCCTTTAATTCTTAAATGCACCTTATTAAGCTGACTACAGTGGAGTTTTGGTTGAAAAGTCCATTTTGCTTTTGGAATCCTCTTGAAGACTAAAAATTTTGGATTCTGCACCCTGGAGTGGGAGGCTCAGAACACAAACTCCTGCTCATTTGCCCTTTTTTTTTTTTTTTTTTTCCCCCAATATCAAGTTAAAGATTTTGAATACTGTGGTGATACTGAGAGATTGCACAGCATATAAAGCAGAGTATTGTTTGCAGTCTCTGCATGGAAGTCTATATGCCCTTTTCACTGAATTTTAAATAACATCTTCAATGTATAGATGTATACAGACCTCAGATATGCAGTAGAAAGTGAATACAAACTGGTAACAGTTACCATGTTGGTATGAGAATATTAGGATAAGTTAGATGTGTTACATTTGAACAGTTTGAAAACAAATTTAATTAATGAAAGGAARCTAATTATTTGAGCTTCTTACTGCAAGTATTTTGTAGTGAAATAAATCTTAAGGTATAAGTGTTAAGTATGTAACTGATTAAATAATTTGATCCAAGCAAAAATAACTCTGTAAAGTAGGAGCACAAAGAACAGAAAGACAAATGTTACTTTTGTTTGTCTTTCGTAGATGTTCAGGGTTATCAAAAGGCTGTACAAAGTTARTATTATTTAAAAATTCCAGTGAGTTGTCCAATAATACTTCTATGATTTGAAAACAGAGGCAGTAGGAAGTACCTAGATRCAGCAGCAGTCAGGATAATTGTATAAGAACACCCTCTGAAATGTTTCAACAGATATATGGCTGGTACTTGTACTGAAGGAAACAACTGTAAATTTGCTCATGGGAATGCCGAGCTCCACGARTGGGAAGAACGAAGACAAGTTTTAAGAATGAAGCTCAGCAAAGCGAGGAAAGACCACTTGATTGCTCCCAGTGATAATGACTTTGGAAAATATAGTTTTTTGTTTAAAGATTTAAACTAATACTGAGATGGCACATACGTACTACCAGCTGGAAGCATAAGCCAGAAAATTTGACAGTAATCAAAAGCATGTGACAGAAAATCTGCAGGTTTTCTGCTTTTATTGGCATATATTGTTCCTCCTGGACAGCAAAATATAGTAGATTTAGGGGGATTGAGCAGACCTGTCTGTGCTCTCATGGAACAGAAGGGTGTTAAAAGAATCCTGAAGTATTACGTGCTGATTCACCTTCTGTCGGACAGAAAGTTAGGAAATAGGAGGGGGCAGAGAGCTTATAATGTCTAGGAAGCCCCCCAGTACCAGTCCTTCCGTTGAAAAACTCCAAGGTATTATGGTGTTAAAGAGAGCGTCCCGGGCTCCGAAGAAAATGATGGATGAAAATTCTTCAGATGTTTTAATGGAGAGGATTTGTTTAAAACAAAAGTTTGCTACTTATCTATACGTAGGTTGCTAAAAAGGATTTTCTTATTAAAGATTTTAAGCGAAATAACCATTTAACTGCAGTATATGTTGAATGGGTATTTTTTCTCTATTTGTATGTTTCAATATAATTTACTGAAGGAAAAAAAAAAAGGATCTTGCAAGGAAAAACATAATTTTTGAAAATCAAGTAGTTAAAAAAAATCCTGTTTCTTGGTCTTTGCTGTTTCAATGATGATTTTGAGAGATTACACTTGTATGTCAGTATTGTGTATTGTATGGACTAATGTTGCCTGTAATAAAGAGAACTTTACATAAAAGATTTTATTTTTTATGCGTGCAGCTTTGCGGCAAGGAGATATATATTTTTATGTATATAAATATATTTTATATATATTTATAT